TTGTTGTTGTTGCTGTTGTTGTTGTTGTTGTTGTTGTTTTTATTTCCCAACTCGTCATTTCCTTCACTGACTTCTGAAGATGTTGAAACACCTTTGAGCTGTATAAATATTATTCCATTCAATATATTTAATACTTCCAGTACACTGTGCAAAGACGGACGATGAATCTGAAAACAAGATGCCCATTAAAATTCACCTTAACATAATTTTAAACTAAAATAAGCCACCAATCCTACTTATCCTACGTTATATTGTTACTAATCAATTCAATTTTTTTTTATGCAAAAATCTTTCAAACAGATTTGCAAACTAGATTTGCAATAAGCAATAAACTACCTTCTTTTATCCTATCCCCCTCAATCAATTCATCTCTCAAAATCCTCTAAGTATAACCGAGTAATTCCATATATCAAATTTTAACTTAAAAACCTTTAAACAAACATGCCTCAACGGGGAGAAGTTGTCCAATATTGTTAGAACCTTGTCGATTAGCTTTATTGATAAGTTTTTGGAAGGTAACAGCTTGTTGCGTTAAATGTTTCAAAAACTCACTGCTTTCTTTGGTCTTTTCATGGTCAATGCCAAAAGTTTTCGAATAAATTGTAAATGTCTCCTAAAAACTTTTAATTATGCATAACTTTTTAAAACCAGAATTCATCTTTTTTATAAGAAATCAAATTGGCCTTCCACTCAAAAAGTTGAAAATTAAGCGTTCAAATTTCCCTAAGATCACCTTGTTTTTCAGATTTATCGAAAAGTGATAAGTAGGAAAGTAAAAAAAAATTTAATATTTAATCGACCATCTTTTCCTACAGACATGCCTTTTCCATTTGTAGGGCAGTGCGGAAATCTCCACGGCATGAATAGGTCCTTGCCATCAAATGATATATAAGTGCTGTTTTCAAAGCTTGTGGTTCCAGGTAGGTTAGGTGCAATTTCAGTGCATTTTGGAGAAATTTCAAGGCATCATCGAATTCCTGCACAGCATACAATATTACACCAATATTACCATCTATTTCGGCCATGAATGGATGATTTTCTCCTTCAAAAGAGTTATTTTGAATATTTATTAAAAAACATCAGATTCCAAAAGAACGCTCACTAAATTCATTGATGTAAAAAAAAAAGAAAATTTTCAGACTTTCTATCATTTCCAGATTACGTTATGAAGATGCAAGAAATCCCAAATAATCATTACCGTGAATAAGCAATAATAGATATCGGGCTCGATAAAGTAATTTCAATGCAGCAGCAATGTGGAGATTTGCAAACGAAAAATGAGCGAGATTTAACTGAAACAAAAATATGTTTAAATCATGAAATCATCTAACAATTGCAAAATCTTCACTGCACATCAGTAGCAACATGTTACTGTCGACATATTTAGTAATTTGCACTTGTAGATACAATCAAGACATCGGAACTGTATTAAATAAAAAAGTCCTGATGTTGATCTGTGAAGTCAAAATATTTCAAATATTAATTTGTGTATGAAGCCTCAAAAACGAAACAAGACGTGTTGTATCAGTTGTGCATTATATTATTCGTAGAGAAAGCAAATAAATGATCGTTGAATAATGAAAAATTCAAAGAATTGTTTTCTTTTAGGTTACTGTTCCTGCATCATTTCTGTTTCATGATGTTTTAAATCAAGAGTTTAAATTGATAAATGAATAAAATAATCCTTAAAAGGCTGAATTATTAATATTCCCCTAAATGATCATTTTTCTATGTAAACTTTCCGCTCTGCAGTCAAAAAAACGATGATTTTCCTCACGAATAATCTGAATTTTCCATAAACTAACCAAAATAAAGAAAAAAAAAAACATACGTATTCGATAACGGTATTAGCATTGTCCAAGCCATTACAACGCTCACTCATTAATGTTGCTTTATGCTGCTGCGATAGTGCTTCAGATGGATCACCAAGGATATATGAAAGACGAGCAAGTAAACGCATACATTGTGCCATATCGGAATGCACCGCACCATATACACTATTCATCAAATTAAGAGATTCTAATACTAAATCAAATCCTGCACGTAATTGACCTGAAAATAGAAAAAATCCTACTATATCTATGTTTATTGAATAGAAATGTAAAAATACACAGAATTATTTCACGAGTAAATACACATATTTGCAAAATTTTCCTCTATTTAAAATAGATTTTCCTTTTTTTTGCAAATTGCAAATTTTACTCCTTTATATTTTATGGAATTATGTAGGCAGAGGAACGAAATAAATCGGGAATCATAAGAAACACCTAAATGTAAAGTACTTGACCCGACTTATGACCTTTATACGTCACATTTCCCTTTTTTCAGCTGTAACTTTACGTGATTCCCACGTTCTGTTTACATTGATGTAAAATAACGGTTATCATCTTGAACTAATCATTCAAATAATAACTTAAAAAGAACGAAGTTTTAAAATATACCTTGTTGTACTTTATTTTGTCCAGAAAGAAATAAACTATGAGCATCCACAGCTTTCGGATCAACATGTTTCGCTAAACAATACAAACCTTGAATATCATCCTCAAAGAACAGTTGTGATTTTTTTCCTCCTTCTAAATTATAATCCCGCAAAAGTATCTGAAAATAAACATGCTTTCATTCAAAAAATTTCAAAAATTTAAAGTTAAAATTTCCTTTGAATCTACATTCACTTTTTTCTCATTCCAAAACAGTAGTTTTCTCCGGGAACAAACTAGAGTGGCACTATTTCACCTCTAGCAATTTTTACAAAAAATTATAAATATTGCGTCATTTCCTGACTAAATTATAAATGAGCACCACAAGAATTATCCTTGCTTCTTTGCACTTTTCAACCAACAAAAACGCAAGCTTTTAAGTCAACTTCTCGAACTATCTTTCGCTATAATTGATTGTTAAAGAAATGAATTATAAAAAGATAGTTTAGAAAATTGACATAAAATCTTAGTGTATTTTTGTTAAAAACAAGCTGATGTGATTCTGTATTCTTATTAAAGACAAAATTGCCATCGAAATAATACCTGAATGCCAACTATTTGTACAAAACGGCGTAAAAAGGAAGTTTTTTGAATTCCAATTGTGGACAAATATGCATCAATATTTTCTTCGTCAACTGTAAATGCATAATAAAAATCCGCGTCTGACTTGACTCGTTCCCAAAGCCCACGCGATGAAATTTGTGCCCAGTCATCATTTTCTTTACCACCACTGTTAATCTGTTTCCGACGCTTCGATGATCGCGATTTTCTAACACCATTTATTGGCATTGATAACTGAAAATAACGTATGAATTTAATTCAATTATATTTAAAATACACTTTTGATGAGTAACTTATTTATTTAGACTTCATTGCTACAATTATATTAAAATGTACACATCTCTTTGGTTTTATACAGCTGAATTAAAACTAATCAGAACTAAGGATAAAATATCTAAAATTTAACTTGCAGTTAAAAATTATAAAAAAAAGATCAAAAAGTAAATCTAACTTCCTCATTATACGGTGTTAGAGGTTCAGTTGACGGACTCAGAAGACAATTCAGAAAATGTGATATTGCCGTTGCCATATGTGCTACTGACACAGGTTGTAGATAACCACGGAAGATATGTTTTGCACATCGACATAACAATTCGGTAATACAAATTATCTAAAATTCATTCAAAAATTTTGATTGCCAGTCTCAAATAGGTAATTGGAAAATATGGGATGCATAAGGCAAACAAACAACTAAGCATATTAGACGATAAATGAAGCAAGGAAAAAATTCCAGATCTAATTTGCGAAAGTGATATTTTTTCTAAATAAAATCTTTCTAAATAAGATAGTAATCACGCGCATATATATATATATATATATATCCAAATGACTGCACATGCAGCTTCCGCTTAAAATGAACAAAAAGTAAAAATCATTACATGAAAATAAATAAGAAATTGGTTATTTACCTTAAGATACGTCAACTGTTTAACATTTTGGATATATTTCGTTAATTTACCCAGATATCGGATGTTAATACCACGTGAATGCAACGCATCACTGAGCGATGCACCATCCAATGGCATTATCGCACGTTGCAAACAGTCACGAACGAAATTTGGCAATTGCTAAATCAAATACAATGATGGAAATAATAATAGTATTTGGAGGAATTTATTACTATATATTACTACTAAGATCAATAAGATTATTCACTACGTCACTATAGTGCTCTCTAATCTTACACACAATCAATATCAATCAATTTGCCAGATCCACATTGCTGTATAAGATCATTAAGAAATATTCATTCGGTTACCAACTCGTACTTTATCAACATTATTTAAAATATTTTTTACATATTAATAAATTTTACAAAAAAAAGGTAATGTATCCTATACCTGTACAACTAAAAATTCAGCTGCTTCAGCTACCAAACGTCGTTGTTTTGCAATATCTTCGTTTTCGGCGTGACGTACCGTTGAACAGCAACAATCCGGATTAAATCTGATATCAAATGCATCCGTACGAATTGATCCTACTGCTTTTGCTGCTTTTGCCATGATCTTCAGAATAAATGATCAATTTTCCCAAAACGGAATCAAAAAAAAAAATGAAAATTTTACTAAACTTCCAAGCCTTAGACATGGAATTATTTGAAAATTATGATAAAAAATGATTTCATATATAACAAAATCTTAATATTAGAAGCTGACCATTTACCTGTTCAGATATTTCTTTATCAAAACTGTTAGACTTCTTTTCATCATTATCAATAGCCTCTTCCATGATTTTTTTTGCTGTTTCAGTTTCCAGCAATGGTATTTCACTAACTTTATTGGCCGCAGATATTTCGCTCTGTAAAATAAAACACGATATTCCAACTAGTATTTAAAAAATTACGTTGGGGTAGTTTGAAAAAAAATTTTAAATACTGCTGTCACTAATAACATCCAAAGGTTTTATAATGATCAAATCACACAGCCATTTTATAAGAATAATAAATCTAACATTCAATTTTTGGGTTTCATTAAATTTTCGTTATCTCAAATTTGCCAAAAATTAATAGCGTTGGTGTGTTTTTCATTCAAAATTATTTATGATAAATTTATGAGAAATGGATATTTCTTAACATTATTTGGACTACACACAACAGGAAACAAAGCTACAATTACAAGGAAAGAAATTTTTTAATAAAAATTATTATGCACTTTCTTAATAATTTTTACTAACAAAACTCTGCAAAAATTAGTAAGTAAACATTAAAAGAACAAAAAAGAGAACGATTCTATTTCACTATTTTTTCACAATCACTAATAAATAACTTCATTCTTAAATCTTTTGAAAATATTAAAATTCAAAACACTTTAATTAAAATACCTTGATCTGATTCATAATTGCATCCTCTTCTATCATATCCTTGAATCCATCCATTTTTGAAACAAAATCTTCCTTCTCCTTCGTTTCATTCGTACTATCATCATCTTCCACTGACAACAATCCCAGTCTATTTTGCTGCACATGATATGCAGCTATACGAATAAACATCAAATAGCGGCACCTTTAAGATTAAAAAAGATTAATGTAAATCAGAATTATTTGATTAGTCATTAGGCAAAACTTGTACCTAATGTACTCAGGCATCATTTAATAGTATCATAACTGCATATACATACTGCTTAATAACTACCTAAAATGCTGTAATTAAGATTCTCCCTATGAAACTAAAAATAAAAAATATCGAAAAAAATAAATAAACAAACTCGACGAAAGCCTCAATTAGTTCCTGCCTCAGCGATGCAAGCTTGTGAGGAAACGCACGTGGATATCCGTTTGCCTTACAAATATCAGTTACTTCTGCATCCTCAAGATAATTTACATCTGGCGGAAAAGTTCGTAATAGATCTAAAATATAATGTCGCGAATCGTTTCCAACAATACCCTAAAAGTAACAAACAATTAATTGATAAACTAATGTTATTGTTTTTTGTGAACCACAACCTACATTTTAGCTGATTGCATTCATTTTAATCATTTTAATGAGAAACTATCTTTAAAAAAATGATAAGATATATCGTAAATTAGATAGATCTCAGCTTGATTATAGTGGATCATTTATGATAAGAGATAGTTAAACTATTGTTTTAACGAAGTAACTTCGTTTTCGGAGTTACTTCGTTTAAACAGTAGTTTAATCTTGTTTCCGAAAATGCAACTCGTATATTTTTTATGAACTCTGTTCGTTCATTTCCTGGTTTGCCATTTTATCAACATGTTATAAGAGACAATGGAAATTAAAATTACAAATATTAATCAATTTATGAGATGCTTCCTCTTTAAGTTAAAAAAAAATTCTAGTACTTAAAAACTAATTTTAGTCATATCGTACTGAAGTGTAAAATAAAAATAACTAATTATCCTAAAAAAATCACTGATTAAACAACAGCATTTTGCGTGAACAAATAATGCTACTTCATTAAAATTGAAAAATCAAAAAAAAAAAGCTTACTTTAGTTTCAAAAGATGAGCACAGTTTAATGATTTTTCCATCGTCTTTACCACTATAAACTTCATGAGGTAAGATTTTCAATTGCTCTGCTGGCTTCGATAGTAAATCATGATATTCCTATTAAAATATTTGATAGGTAAGCATGAAATCGAAGCAACATTTATATCAGAGTCAAAAATCAACCATATTCGACTTTTTTTTTGAACATTCAATTAAATTTTCTTAGCATATGCACCTGACAAGAAAAAAACTACATTTAACAATAATCAATCAAAATATAAATCATTCCCTAATTTTGCAAATCATATAGTTATTACTGAATGGAAAAAAATCACCTCAGAGCTAACAACTGTTTTGCCAAAATCGACCGACCCGTAAACAACACTTTGCTCCTGCTCTCTTTCCAAAATACCTGGTATAATTGATTGTGCAGTAATTCTGTAATGCATTTCATCCATTATTTAAATGAATGATGCACAAATTTATGATATATAAGCATAAATGATTATTTGTTAAGAAAATTTAAAATTAAAAGATCAGAAATTAAGAACTGTTGTAAAGGGCTTCCCCTATATGAATAAATTTAAACCAGATCTCCACTGATTACGGATATTTTTTGCAATTCAAAAAAAAAAAAATTACCGAAATCCCTTGTAGTCAACTATGACCATACCCAGAGTAAAAAGTTTTGGATTATCAAGTTGCGCATAAGCTCGTACACCTTGCAAATCATTTGATGTTGCCGCATGAGCAGCTGCATCACCTCCCAATTCCTAAAATGTAACCGTAAAAATTGTTACAAAACTAAAGTTCTTTGACACTCAAGTTTTATTTTATTAAGTAACTGTAACTCAATAAAATTATTTCAACATATGAAATTATTGTTAATTATGAAATAAGAATGAATTAAAATTCTGTTCATGATGATCTAACCTTGTAGTGATCTTTAACATCAAACCCAAGCGAAAAGAATATATTATTCCATATATACATATGCGTTCGCGGTTCGTCTGCCGGATTTATTGCAACAACATTCCCATCGACAACTGCCATTGCTCCCAGAAAAACAATTATATTGTAAATCACAGTAAAAGCGATCTTTTTTTGTTAAAATTTAGCAAATTTATTTGGGCAAACATAAATAGTCATAAGCTATAAGACTTCCTCTCACTTCTTGCTATGATACATTTCTAGAAAAGTCCGACAGTGTCACTGGTATCTCTCCTATCATTTATTTTTAAGCATATGAAGTTCTTGAAACGTGGTAATAATCGTTGAATTATTTTAAAAGTAGATTTTTGCTATTAGTAAGGAGATACTTAAAATGAGATGCAATAAATAATATAATCACTTTAATCGCAGCAGAAACGAAATCGTTATGAATTTTAAAGATAGCTCTTTCCCGAATGAGTCGTTCACCGAGTGTTTCACGTGGTAACTCGTGGGTCGTTTGTAGTTCCTCATTCCAATCACGAATTTGTCCAGGAATATGATCTTCAAGACCAATTTTATGAGGCTGTGTACAGTCTTCTGCACGAATTCCATCTTCGGTTTGCTCGAATATCGGTGCTACCCACGAATTTACCTACAAAAAATAAAATCAAACAAATCCTGAAAGTCACTGAGCAATATTCTTTCCACCTTTTGCTTTAATCTCGAATTTCCTCGATTTGTATAGAAACTTGCAAATTTCCAAAATTGCAATTTCAATTTCCAATTCAACTGCAAAAAACAATTATCCATATTATCCAAAAAACAATTATATACATAAGAGTTACATTATGCATAAGGAATGCAATTCCGCTTAGATACTCCTTATAGACGTACGTGAAAATACATCTTAAATAAAATACCGACAGTAATGCCAATTTGGTCAGTCTTCTGATCAAAGTTCATTACACTGACTATTTCACTCTTAAAATTCCAATTTATAAGGAAAATGAAATAGTAATACCTGATATGGTGTTGGCAATCGCTCGAAAATATGCTTTTCGGAACGTTTCTTCAAAATCAACGCCATAGCTCGTTTAAACGAAATACTAATCGACGAAAGTAAATCCAAAAGCGAATGATGAATAACTCTATGCGACGGTGAAGGCGTTGGTTGGAAACCTGCTTCAGTGGTTGCGTTCACATAAAAGCCTTTCGTACAGCAAGTTATATGATAGCGTCGTCCTTCTCGTGTATCAACCGTCAAATAGAGAACGTCTCCCTGTCATAATACATTCATACTTAGTAAGATGATATAATAAATTTCCCTGAGATTTTTAAATATCAATATATCGAACTCTTAAACCTTATCTCTTCATTGCTATCAATTTCCTAAAATAATTTTAGAAATAGTTCTTGATACATGCCTTCAATTTTCGATGTCCTAATGGTGGATTAAACGACGAAATTGCCAAACTTTTCAACGCTAATACAGGATCACTCATTACTGGCAGTAGTGGTATCAGTGGACGTTCTTTATAACCTGGCAGGACATAATCTGGAGGAGAACATTCTAATGATCTAAAAATGCATATTTTTAACTCAGTGCTATTTTTCGCATCTTTCAATACAAACTATTTGTTCATGACTTATTTAACTTCTTTTTAATTCTTCTTTTTAACCAATAACTTCAGCAAACAAAATGCTCTATTCATTGCTGCTATGCATTATAGCAAAAATTCATATTATATAGCACACTGTTCAACAGATCGATGAACCAACAAAACAGTTTTTTTTCGCTATAAAAACTTGCTTTATGGTGAAACACTTACTTATCAGTATTTTTTCTACGATCACCTAGTGTCATTGTAGCAAGATATGATAGTGATGCACCATCAGTACCATTAACAGCATCAGACATATCAAGAGAACGAATTAGATCACGAACATGGCGAACATGAATTCGAGCTTCTCGAGTTGTATATGGTTCTGAAAAAAAATCATATGATATTTTGACAAATTTAAAAGTTTCAAAAATTTGATATTAAACGATGATACATTCAACTAGAAAGATACCACGTTTGTTTGTTTTTTGTTTATATGCCGACGATTACAAATACTTTTTCTATAGTCTAACAAATTCGCATGAATTTCATTTTTTTTTAAATATCATTTTCACGTTCAATACGTATGTATTTATACCACAATTTTGAGATACAAGTATGCATCACATCCATGACTGACTTTTTTTTTTCATACTTTAATAATGACCATACATGTAACAGAGTTTGAGGATAACTTGGTAAAATTCGACTTATATAAAGATCCATTTAAATAATATTTGGCACATTTTGGCTTTCCGAGAAATTCCCAACCAAATTACATTGAAATGGAAGAAGCCATATCCTTGCCTTCGACAACTCTTAACACAGATCCATCTTTAAGACCAGCAACATTTTTCAATTCGGTAAAATGATCCAATGAAACGCCGTTTAACTGCAAGCTGAAACACGTGCGATGGCATGTCGCTTCACGTTCTAACAGCACCTGATGTAGTTCTTGCACCATTTCATTTGAGCTTACCTGAAAAAAAAAAGAAAACTTTTTTTTCTCAATTTCTCAACGAGTATTATTATCAACTAACATTGATTAATGCCTTCTTTGTTTGTTTTTTAGAAAATTGTAATTTTAATAAGTATGTTTCCAATTCAAAACACAAAATTCCAGAAAAAAGAAGCTTACTAAAGTAAAACAGAAAAGATGAAAAAATTAAAACATGCGGACAAATCCAGACGACGAAACTGAATGTTGAAATTGAAGTTTTTTTTTTTGTTGTCAGGTTATAGATTTGAAACATCAAAATTATTGATTCCAAATTTTAGCGTATTTTTAAGATTAAAAACACCGAAATTTCGCAAGGACTAACTAATATTTGAATTTATAATCGGAATTGACATTCTAATTAAGGTGAGACAATTCAATCAGTGAATACCTGTAAATCAAATGGTTCTACCCCAGGTGCAATAATACGAATACGAAACATCGCTTCGCATTCACCACTCGGACATAATGGCTCATCGATACCAGTTTTTTCTGCTGCTAAAAAAATATATTGAAACATTTTCCCAACGTCTTTATGACTTAAAAGAAATCATGAAGTTCTTATTCTTACCAATTTCGAAAAAAGATTTAAAAGAAAAATCAATTTTAAAAGTAGAAGACCAAGCGAGTAAGAATAATTGAAACATTTTCTTAAAGGAAGATTAAATCAAGTAGTTTTTATCTCAATCTTCTCTCATTCATTGTGAATAATTTATAAAATTTTTTCTGAATGAAAAAAAAAACATAAAATTCCATAAAAATTTTAATACAACTTGCAAAAGAAATTATTCTCTAATTCATGCATATATTTCACCCATGTATAATTTTGGAAACAGATTAAGTTTAATAAGTGATCAATATTCAATTTTAATGAAATAGCCAAAGTGAAAGTGAAACTGTAAATGAATTAGCTCTGCTCCATCAGTAATTTCATTAGAAAAGAAAGTGCATATATATGGAGAAGCTTGAACTCAATATAACAAACACTTCAGGATAATCTTAACAGTTTCATCCCTTATTTACACGGGGTTATTCATGGTGCTTTCCTCATTTTCTTCAAAAAAAAATTTTTGTAAATCATGCATTTGCTACATTTTTGTATAATAGTATTTCATAAATGCATATCATGTTTATATGATATATGATTTTAATCATAATTTCGAAATGTTAAGTTTCAATAAATAAATGCGTAACATTATAGATAAATTGATGAGCATTTCACTATATAAATTAGAAATGAAACTGCTAACATTTCATTTACATCTTATTCTACCCAAAAAACAACAATAATGATAATTTTTTATCCATTTCATCATCATTCTATTCTATCTATCAATAACAGAGTCAAACTATAATCACTCCTATGTTCTTTCGTTTTTGTAAGAAAAAGAAAAATGCAATGAAACATCTATTGGCACTTTTTATGTGAAAGAAAAAGAATTGAAACAACTGATGATTGATCATTGGTAATTTCTTTTCTAATGAGAAATGTGGAAGTGCATTAATTGCAAAGCTCCCGGATTACAATTTAATTTTAAATGACTTAAACAAATATAACAACCAAAAATGAAAAGAAAAAAATAACCAGGCGAAACGGCTTTATCCTCGACAGGTGTTAATGGTAAATCAGGTGATGATGTTTCATGGCCGGAATCATTGGCAGAATTATGCGGTGAATTCTCTTGTCCATCTTCCGATAATGTCTGAAATGTTCATTAAGTCATTAAGAAAAATAACTGAATCATGGATTTATTAGTGATTAAATTTGCTGCTTTAAAAATGTAACCGATATATTTTATAATAGCATATATAATAAAAGTGGACCGAAAAAAAATTATTAAATTAAAAAAAAATAACTTTATTCTGGTATGAAATCTTAAGACTTCATTAAGCGGCAATGAATTTAAAAAATAACTATAGCATAGCTTTTAAGATAAATCTATTGCTGCTTCTTGTAGAATTTTAACGAACAAAGAAGAAACAATGCGACCAAAAAAGAGATTAAAGTAAAATTAACAGTCCAATAGAAAAAAATAATAAAGTTCGATTTTTTTTCCTTTATGCATAACTGTCGGAGAAGAGAATATTTATGTTTTATCCTTTTAATTACATTTCAATATTTTATTCCTATTCTATTAATTATTTCAATTCTATTCTACTTGATATTCTACTAATCATTTCAATTCTATTCTATCTATGTTCTATCAATTATTTCAATTCTATTCCATTTGTTCTTCCATTAATTATTTCAATTCCACTTGTTATTTTATTTGAGTAAACGAAAGAAAAAAAATGAACCAACCTTAGCAGTTGAGGCAAGGACGGTTTCAGATGAACAAACCGGTCCATTATCTTCGCCCATTGCTTTGCCTAAAATAATGCAACACATTTTGCAGAGAAATTAGGAAATAAAAACAATTCGAATTTACATATAATTTCAAATTACAACTTTTGCAAATTCAAATATTTTGAATCAAATTCGGCAATATTTACAATATTCATAATTTACATTGATCCTCCATTTTCATTCTAAAATTTCATTCAAAAGAAAGAATAAAACTAAATGATTTTATGAAAGAATGATAATTTCGAAATTATTCTCGGGGAGAATTTTTTCCCAGAAGGAAATTTGCAATTTTGTATAAACTAATTCAAAAAAAAATTATCAATATTCCATCCTATCATTCTTAGCCCTCTTATTGGATAAAGGTTTCATAAGTTCACTTTGTGCAGTTACACATGCAACACGTGTAATCCGTGTAACTGTACAAATATATGCTAATTTTAGCAGAATAAGTTAAAATGAATAGCGCACGCAAAATAGGTAACGGAAAATTGGATGTCATTGACACAACCAGACAGACGATCATTAGTGAGCGTAATGGACCAGTTCATTTTTGATCACGCTAGGACTGTCTGGTTGCGTCGAAAATAGGAGTCATTTTGACGCACTTCAGACATACACACACACACACACACATACACACACACATACACACA